CTGTCCAAAGAAAGAAAGAAACAAACAAACAAACACGGACAGACATGGACCCAGCAGAGTTATTCTTTAGAAAGTAAGGATATAAAAATGATATTCTGGAATAGATTCTGTGGCGCAGCAGGTTAAGGTGCCACCTGGGGTAGTCACACCCCATATTAGAGTGCCTAGTTAAAGGGCCAACTACTCCACTTCTGATCCGGATTCCTGCTAATGCACATCCCAGGAGGCAGCAGATGATGGCTCAAATACCGAGTCCCTGCCACAAACATAGAAGACCCAGATGGAATTCTGGGGCCTTGGGTTTAACATTATCCACGTCTGGCTGTTATGGGCATTTGAAGAATGAACCAGTAGACAGAAATTCTCTCTTACTCTGCCTTTCAAATAAATAAATTTTTTAAAAAGACTTTCTCAATCAAACAAAAAAAATCAAGGCATTCATGACAACTAGACTTGTCTTATATGAAATACTAAAAGGAATTATTGAAACTGAAAGGAAAGGAGACTAATTAGTAACATGAGAAAATATGCAAATATAAAACTTACTGGTAAACGTAAATATAAAGTCAAATCCCAAATTCTCTTGTATTATAAAGGTGGTGTGTGAAATACTTATATCTGGTAAACAGGTTAAAAGAGACAATATTAAAAATAATCAGAGCTATACTAATTTGTTAAGGGATATGCAATGGAAATTAAGCCAGCCTTTTATAACTATAAGATGTTGTTTTACATAAGCCTCATAGTAACCACCAAGAAAATCCTATAGTAGATATACAAATATAAAAAGAAATTACGGCCAGCGCCGCAGCTCACTTGGCTAATCCTCCGCCTGTGGCGCCGGCACCCTGGGTTCTAGTCCCGGTCGGGGTGCCGGATTCTGTCCTGGTTGCTCCTCTTCCTGTCCAGCTCCCTGCTGTGGCCCAGGAGTGCAGTGGAGGATGTCCCAAGTGCTTGGGCCCTGCACCCACATGGGAGACCAGGAGGAAGCACCTGGCTCCTGGCTTCGGATCAGTGCAGTGCGCCGGCCATAGCAGCCATTTAGGGGTAAACCAATGGAAAGGAAGATCTTTCTCTCTGCCTCTCTCTCTCCCTCTCACTGTCTAACTCTGCCTGTCAAAAAAAAAATTAAAAAAATTAAAAATTAAAAAAAAGAAATTAGGACAGTGATGTCACCAAAATGACAAAGCAGAAGCAATTGACCTTCCCTCTCCAATAATGCAGAAAAACAATAACAAATATCCAGCAGCAAAATTATCATGTGGAGAATCCTAGAAGTTAAAGTTCGGGCTGCAGAGCAGTGAAAAGCCACAAGCAGAGAGTAAGTGGTCCTGTAACCACAGCTCCCTTACCCCTGCTTATAAATACCACACTGGAAAGTCCCTCCAGACTCATGGTTTCTAAATGGAAAAAGTGAGACTGAGTCAGGCAGTCTTCCTCAATGCCTTGTGTTCCTTTAAAGAAGAAATCTCCCTACCGCAGCACATGGGAATCATCACAGGTGCCTGTAGAGCTGAAGTCAGCTGGACACAAAAGGCGGGGCTAAGCCCAGCGGCAGCCAGCACAGAGAGCTCCACCAGCTCTCCACTTGAGCCTGTGAGATGCCCACTCGAGGAGGCTGCACAGTAGCACCATCCTGCAGGAGTGTTCCATGAGTTCTTAGTAAGAGTCTCTAACTGGGCTTCCTGAACACTCTGTGTACTCATTTTTACCCCCTGCCCCCATTCCCATTGGGGCTGTACGCTGCCAAGCTCAGAATCATTGTGGACCTGTGGCACACCTGGATTCTGGACACCATGTAATGCTGGAGAAGAGAAAGTGACCTCAGGCTAAGGAAACCCAACAGTTAATCTGAACAGGACCTCTAGACAAACATATCTTGGAAAGATCAATACAAGCCAAGCTACACAAGGAAGATTGGGTTAAATGTATAATTTCTTCAATAGGGAAACATGTTTTTGCATGGAAAAAAAATCAAGATCAAGCAAGAAACCAGCACCTCAACAAATGTAGAAAACAAGATGGCTGTGACTGAACCTAATAAATTGGAAATGTATGATCTTTCCAAACAAGAATTCTAAACAGAAGTTTTGTGAGATCATACATTTCCAATTTATTAGGCAAACTCCAAAATATCTCACAAAAATAAGTTTTTCAGAAAAATTTAATGAACAGGTTGAAATACTTTTTAAAAAAATAAACCAACATCTTGGGCTAAAATGTAGTGAATGAAATGATGACTACAATTGAAAGCCTCAACAGCATAACTGATCAAGTACGAGAAAGAATCACTAAAACTCAATGAAAAGCTGGTTGAAAATATAGAATCATATGTAACTATATGTATATAATATCTACTTGTGAAATGAATATGGCAAAATGTTAACAACTGTAAACCTAAAAACTTTTAAAGAAAATACAGAGTCAGAAAAGAGAAGAAAAATTCTTAAAAATTAATGGGACCTACAGGACAAACACAAGAGATAAATGTAGCGTCACTGGTGTCCAAATGGAACTTAGCAATAAAAAAGTGGAAGAAAGAATATTCAAGGAAACAATAAAAACCTTCTAAACATGAAAAATAAAAATATGTGTGTACAAGGAGATTTCTGTTACCAAACAGATTCAATTCAAATTGACTACATTGAGACATAAAATCAAATCCTCAAAAGCCAAGGACAGATAGGATTCTAAAGTAACAGGAGAATAGAAGGAAATAACAAATATTTTTCAATGCTCTTAGAAACAGATTTTGTGTGTAGATATTACATTCAGTGTGTGAAGGGGAAAAGCTTTTAAGTCAAGAATCTCATACTACTGTTGTGTAGTGAGTAAAGCCACTGCCTGCAATGCTGGCATACCGCATGGGTGCTGGTTTGAGTCGCAGCTGCTCCACTTCCATTCTAGCTCCCTGCTAATAGACTGGGAAAGCAGCAGAAGATGGCTTGGGACCTTGAACCCATGAGGGAGACCTGGATGAAGCTCCTGGCTCCTGGCTTCAGCCTGACCCAGTCCTAGCCATTGCAGTCATCTGATAGTGAACTAGTGAATTCTCTCCCTCCTTCCTTCTCTCTCTCTCTCTCTCTCTCTCTCTCTCTGTGTGTGTGTATAAATCTGACTTTAAAATAAAATAAATAGGGGCTGGCGCTGTGGCGTGGTGGGTAGACACCGCCTGCAATGCCAGCATCCCATATGGGCGCCAGTTTGAGTCCTGACCGCTCCACTTCCGATCCAGCTCTCTGCTATGGCCTGAGAAAGCAGTAGAAGATGGCCCAAGTCCTTGGGCCCCTACACCCACATGGGAGACCTGGAAGAAGCTCCTGGCTCCTGGATTCGGATCAGCTCAGCTCTGGCCATTGTGGTCATTTGGGGAGTGAACCAGCGGATGGAAGACCTCTCTCTCTCTCTCCCTCCCTTTCTCTCTCTCTCTCTCTCTCTCTCTCTCTCTCTCTCTCTCTGCCTTTTCCTCTCTCTGTGTGTAACTCTGACTTTCAAATAAATAAATAAATATCTTAAAAAATAAAATAAATCTTTAAAAAAAAAAAACAGAATACCACACTAGGAAAAACAATTCTTCAGAAATGGAGAGAAAAAAATAACTTCCCACACGAACAAAAGCTGAAGGAATTCATCACCACAAGACTAGTCATATCAAAAATATCAAAAAGAGTTCTCCAAACTGGAAGAAAAGGATGCTAACATGTAACAAGAAAACATCTTGAGGCATAAAACTCACTAATAAAAAATAGGTATACAAGGTCATAACACTCTAATACAAGCATCATGGTGTAGAATATACTTATAATCTTAAAATTTAGAGCAAGATATAAAATTTATTTTAAAAGATCATAACCACAAAATTTATAAAGAGATAGGCAGTATAAAATATATAAATAGTGGCTTCAAATGTCCTAAATTATCAATTTTAATATTATAGATATCATAAAAATGTGAGAACTAGAAGATATTTTTGTAACTACAAAAGAACTTGTAATAGAGTTACTAATACTAAAAAGTTGTGCTCACTTCGGCAGCACATATGCTAAAACTAAAAAGTAAATTTTTTGTAAGCATGAAACAACTTGTAATAGAATTACTAATAATAAAAGGCAAAGAATTAAAATATACTACTGGTAAAAACCATTTATCCACAAAAGAAGACAGTGAGAGTGGAAGAAAGAAATGATCTTAAAAAACAATTAGAAGATAACTAAGTAACAAAATGGCAGTACTCAATCTTTATAGCATTAGATCATTTTTTCACTATAGCAATTACCTGAGGCTGGGTAACTGTATATTTTTTATACAGAAAAGAAATTATTTAAGCCAGGCATTCAGCATAAGAGTTGGGATACTTGCATTCTCTATCAGAATACCTGGGTTCAGGCCGGCACCACAGCTCAATAGGCTAATCCTCCACCTAGCGGCGCCAGCACACCGGGTTCTAGTCCTGGTCGGGGTGCCGGATTCTGTCCCGGTTGCCCCTCTTCCAGGCCGGCTCTCTGCTGTGGCCCAGGAGTGCAGTGGAGGATGGCCCAAGTGCTTGGACCCTGCACCCATGAGAGACCAGGATAAGCACCTGGCTCCTGCCTTAGGATCAGCGCGGTGCGCCGGCCGCAGTGCGCCGGCCTCAGTGGCCATTGGAGGGTGAACCAATGGCAAAGGAAGACCTTTCTTCTCTGTCTCTCTCTCTCTCACTGTCCACTCTGTAAAAAAAAAAAAAAAAAAAACTGGGTTCAATCCCAGATTCACTCCTGATTCTAGTTAGCAGCTAATGTGACCCTGACCCAAGTAATTTGGTCTCTACCATCCATGTGGGAGACCAAGACTTAGTTTTTGGCTCCTAACTTTGGCCTGTACTAATCCTAACTCTCATGGGCATTTGTAACTGAACAGGTAGATAGGACTCTCTCTCTCTCTCTCTCTCTCTCTCTCTCTCTTTCTCTGTGTGTGTGTGTGTCATCCTTTAAAATTATTTAGGTAATTTTTAAAGTTTTTACCTTTAATTCTGAAGACAAAGTCCAGACAGCATAGTGCCAGCTCTAGTGAGGCTCCCCCTCAAGTCACCAGATCATGGCAGATGACACCACAATGGTGGGACTATGTGTGAAAGGGATACATCAGCTCTCAAGAGAAGAAGCTAGATAGATATTGAGGAGCTGATTTTGCTCTTGTAATCACTTGCACTCATGAGAACTAACTTGGGATTCCACAAGAACTACCCTAAGGCCTTCCAAGTGTAGTACCTTCAGTGACCTAAGAACCTCCCACTAGACCTCACAAATATAGGTCCCAACATCTCAACACAGTCACATTGAGAAACAAGGCTCCAAACCATGAACTCTTGAGAGCTAACTTCACATCCAAACCATAGCATTTATTATTCATCACCTTGAATGTAAATGCATTGAATTTCCCTATTAAAAGTCATAGAGTGGATGAATGGATTTTTTTCTAAAAGACCCAACTACTTATAACACAAAACTCTACTTATGAGGACATTGTAAAAATGGAGGTGAAAAGATAAGAAAAAAATTATATGTAAATTGAAACGAAAATAAATCAGGAATTGCTACATTTATACCAGACAAAATACATATTAACTTTAAAACTGATGCAAAGAAGTACATTATATAATGATAAAGGGGTCAACTCACCAAGAGGATATGATAAATATATATATACACCCAACATCAAGCCTCTAAATATATTCATATAGAGAGCAAATACTAGTAAACTCAAAGGGAAAGATAGACTGCCGTATAATTACAGTAGGGGACTTCAACACTTCACTTTCAGCAATGGACAGATCATGTAGACAGAAAGCCAAGAAAAATATTCCAATTCAAACTGTGCCCTAGACCAAATGGACCTAACAAACATGTACAGAACATTCTACACAACAGTACAGAATACACATAATTCCCAACAGCACACAGAGCATTATCCAAGATATATCATATATTGGGCCACAAAACAAGTCTCAACAATTTAAAAATCAAAATATTGTTAAGTGATTTTTCTTTATGTGTGTGTGTGTGTGAGTGTGTTCATAGATATAAGGATTTTATTGCTTTCTTTAGTAGTACATTCCACACAATAATAACTTATGATCTAAGGAAAGTTTTTGTAACTTCCTAAGGCTCAGTATTTCCTTTTCTTTCTTTTACAATTAAAAAAATTTATATATTTGGTTATTTAAATTTTAATTAAAATAAGGAGAACAAATTTCATGTGTTCCATAGGTACAGTTCCAAGAAGACAACCACAGTTCCTTCCCTCCACAGATCCCAACAATCCCCCTCCCTCCCCTCTCTTTATCAGTTTTTGCCAAGACATTGTTTAAAAAACTTTTATTTAATAAATGTAAATTCCATAGGTACAACTTTAGGAATATAGTGGTTCTTTACCCCATATCCACCCTCCTGTCCCCACTCTCATCCTACCCCCTACTCCCTCTCCCACCCCATTCTTCATTAAGGTTCATTTTTAGTTTAATTTTATATACAGAGGACCAACTCTATGCTAAGTAAAGATTTGAACAGTTTGCACCCACACACACACAATGTATAAAGTACAGTTTGAGAACAACTTTTGCAGTTAATTCTCATAATACAACTCATTAAGGACAGAGGTCCTACATGGACCGTAAGTGCACAATGACTTTTGTTGTTCTTTTAACAATTAATACTCTTCTTTATGAAGTCAGTGATCACTCGAGGCTCTTGCCATGAGCTGCCAAGGCTATAGAGGTCTTTTATGACCATAGACTCCAGCAAGACATAATTTTAATCCACTCTATATTTACAGTCTTAATTCACCACTAATCATAATATTCAACAAGTAAAAAAGTAGGAAGACCACATTTCCACAGGAGTACAAACAAGGACTAAAAATGATAATCATATCTCAAAATGTCCATTTCATTTATACATATCATTTGACATTCTACATTAACTGCCACATCTCAGAGAAAATACATATTTGTCTTTCTGAGACTGGGTTATGCCACTAAGCCAGTTGCATGTATTTTGATGTAAAAGACAGGATCTTATTCTTTTTTATGGTTGAGTAGTATTCCATAGTGTATGAATATGAAGTTTTCTTTATCCAGTCATCTGTTGATGGACATCTGGGTTGATTTCATATCTTAGCAGAAATGCCTACATCAAAAAAAATTTAATCTTAAACTAACTTTGCATATCAAATAACTAGAAAAATAAAAACAAACAAAACATATTATTAATAGAATGAAAGAAATGGTGAAAATCATTGAAGTAACTAATGAACTGTAGTTTAAAAATACAAAAGATCAATATAATGAAACATTGAAATCCGGTCATTTGCAACAAAATGGAGGAATCTGGAAAACATTATGCTGAGTGAATTAAGCCAGTCCCAAAGGGACAAACATCATATGTTCTCCCAATCGGCGACAACTAACTGAGCACCAAAGGGGAAATTTATATTTACTAAATAAAAGTTTTTTAAAAATTTATATAATATTATATAATAACATTAATATAATATCAATATCAATATTATATGATATTAAAGTTGATATAATATAATGTTATAATATGTATATTTATATATAAAGTTAATATATTATATATATTAATACAATTATATAATATATATATAAAGCCTACCACAGTGGCTGTACCAGTTTATATTCCCACCAATAGGGGATCAGGGTACCTTTTTTACACATCCTTGTGAGTATTTGTTGTTTGTTAAAATCAATATGAGAGCCATTCTAGCTAGGGTGAGGTGAAACCTCATTGTGATTTTGATTTGCATTTCCCTGATGGCTAGTGATCCTGATAATTTTTTCATGTGTCTGTTGACCATTTGAATTTCCTTTCTTGAAAAATGCCTGCTTCAGTTATTTGCCCATTTCTAACTAGTTTTTTCTTTTTAGCTTCTTGTGCTCTTTTTGATTCTGAATATTAATCCTTTATCAGTTGCATAGTTTACAAATATTTTCTCCCATTCTCCACTGCACACCCAGGCCACAGCAGAGAGCCGGATTGGAATAGGAGCAACCAGGACAGAATCCTGGGAATAGAACCCGGGGTGCCAGCGCCACAGGCGGAGGATTAAGCAAGTGAGCTGCTGTGCCGGACAGTAAATCTTTTTTAAAATTTATAAATATAACCCTATTCATAATATCTATCAAATATTAAATACCATGGAATGAACTTAACCAAGAATGTGAAGCACCTTTACAGTGAAAATTATAAAACACTAATGAAAGAAATAGAAGCCATAAAAATATGGGAAGACTTCCCATATTCATGGATCAGAATAATTAATATTATCAAAATGTCCATACTACCCAAAGCAATTTACATTTTCAATGCAATCCCCATCAAAATACCAAGTGACATTCTTCACAGAATTAGGAAAAAAAATGTTTTTAAATACATATAGCAACACAAAAGACCCTGACTAAACTTGAACAATGAAAATAAAGCCATAGGCACCACAATATCAGATTTCAAGACATATTTCAGGGCCATTATAACTAAAGCAGCCTTGTACTGGTATAAAAGGAGACATGTAAACCAGTGGAACAGATAGAAACCCCAGAAAGAAATGCATTCATATAGATCCACACATATTAATCAATCCACAACCAACTTTCACAAATGTGCTTAAAATGTACCCTGGAGAAACGATAGTATTTTTGATAAATGGTGTTGGGAAAACTGGATTTCCACATGCAGAAGTTTGAATCAAGACCACTTACCTCACCTAACACTCTGTATAAAAATCAACTCAAAATAGATCAAAGATCTAAATGTAAGACCTGAAACTGAAATTACTACAGGAAAACAGAGGCAGTACCCCAAGACATCCACATAGTCAATTACATTTGGAGAAGACCTCAAAAGCACAGACATTAAAAGCAAAAATTTTTTAAAAAATGGGATGCAATCTAAGAAGCTTCTGCACAGCAAAGGAAAGAGCAAAGAGACAACCAACAGAATGGGAGAAAATATTTGTAAACTACACTTCTGAAAAAGGGTTAAAGTTTGTAACGTAAAAACAGTTCAACAATGAAACCGACAGACTTCTTAAGAAATTGGAACAGGATCTGAACACATATTTTTCAAGGAGAGAGAAGAAAAAGCGTCCAATAAACACATGAAAAAATTATGAGTGTCTCTAGCCACCAGGGACATACAAATAAAACTACACTGAGATATCCTCTCACTCAGTTACAATGGCTATTACCCAAAAAGGCAAAAAATAATAAATGCTGGTGAAGGAGTGGAGAAAAGGGAACCCTAAAACGCTGTTGGTATAGTCTTTATGGGAAACAATAGGGAGATTCCTCAAAAAACTAAAACTGTATCTGTCATGTGACCCAGCTATGCCACTTCTGGGAATATCTTCAAAGGAAATGAAGTCAGAATATGGAAGAAACACCTACACTCCTATGTTTATAAGAGCTCAATTCACAATAGTGAAGATATGGAATCAACCTAGATGTGGTATATGTACACAACTGAATGTTATTCAGGTAAAAGAAATCCCAACATTTGCAACAAAAGGGGTGGAACTGAAAATCATTATGCTAAGTGACATAAGACAGAGAAGAGGGGGCGGAGCCAAGAT